AGAGAGAGAGAGGGAGAGAGGGAGGAGGGGGGAGAGAGAGGGGCTAGTGGTTACCCACCTGGCAGCTTGACGAGCTGAAGCCGTGCTCCGGCTCCTTCAGGAAGACTGTAGTGCCCTGGCTATGGGTGGACGACGACGCCTTCGACTGCTGCTGTTGCACAGGAGACGTGGAGGCAACGGGAAGCGCACGGCGGGCGCGAAGGGCACAAGTATGCCTCAGATAGAGTAAGCATCAAAGCTTCTTCCGTCTTCCTCTTCCACTTTGAAAACACATCTGACCGCGCGCGTTTGATAAGAGTTCTCCTCCGTCAGTTGGCGGTCACACACAGATCGGCCATCGCGAAAATCTCGAAAATAAAATAAAATAAATTCACGAGAACTCCCGCCATTGCGCGCTCACGCAGCAGTGTTACTTGGGCAGTCCCACTCTCCCAACCGATCATTGAGATCGACGGCCTGGAACGAGGAATCCAAGCAAATGGGACCTAATAGCAGGGACAACTTTTGAAGTCCCCCTCGATCCCACTTGCACGGATTACGAGATTCTGACCGTTGATCTGTGCTATCTACGGTCAATATCTCTTAATTCGTGTAAGTGGGACCTAGCCCCAGGTTGTAAGCTGGTTGGTACAACAATAAACTGCTGAAATGTTGACGTAAGTTCGAACTCAAAAAGAACCAGATGAACGAAATTCCTGAATTGCCTCAGGAAAACAAGAAAAGGGCAACATGTCTCTTGGCTCGGTTGCCTTGGGGTGTTGTGGCGGGTGGGCTGGTATAGAGAGGAGGTAGGTCGAGTGAGGAAGATACAGAAAAAAATGAGAGAAGAATATAGAATAACAAAACATATTGTTCCCCATATGAGGGCCGAGGTCCCACTAGCGTAGCAAAAAGGATAGGATCGAGCTCCTGAATCTGGATGTGTTTTATGCAGAGATGCAGAAAAGCAGTTCAATCTCGATTTTCTGCACTTCTCCATAACCTCGTCCAGATTCAGGCATTTGATCCAATCCTCTTTGCTAGTGGGACCACGCCCGAGGAGAAAAAAAGGGCGACACAGAGAGTCCTGCGCAAGGACGACACGCATAAATGAAGAAATGGTCCAATTTTATTTTCAAAATTCGAAAAGTTTTGAAATGCCCCTGAAGTTTCTATTAATTTGCGGCATGCCCCTCTGACGCCCACCCAACCAATTCAAATGCCTGTAGAATCTGGACAGGACAGCCTTTCAGGCCTATTTCATTGTCATTAACCCCGTCGCACCCCTGGGCCTAGAAAGCGGCAGGCCCCTCTCCATAATGGGTGCAACTTTTCCGGACAC